TGTGTGTGTGTGTGTGTGTGTGTGTGTGTGTGTGTGTGTGTCACTCCAATCAGTAACAAGTAAAAGGAAAAAGGATGAAGCCTTCAACGTTTCCATGGTTACAGTGTGACAAACCAACATGAGTTCATATATCTGAATGTGTTCTTCTCTCTGATGGATAAATGAGAAAGAAAACTAAAAGTGTGGCTGCTGGAGTTAGTTTTTCTTTGCTCTGTAGAAAGAAACAGCAGACTCAGTCCATCAGCAGGAAACAACGGTGGACAAGATGCTCTGATGTTACCAACCTGTTTCCTCAGAGGGACACAGACCAGCTCTGGAGGATGGTTTTAACACAAACACAATGAAAGCTCTGGGAGAAGCAGTAAACTGCTCCTTTTAAACCAAACATTACAGCTGAGAACTCACACAGTCTGAGGATCCAGTTTTCTACAGAAAACTGAAGCTTTGAKGGGTTTTCTGCATGAGAGGAAACTCCGGCTTTGATCTGCAGCACATGGTTTTACAAACAGCCAGTTTAACAAAACAGATCAACAACTTGTTCTGCTCAAACAGGACAAACAAACCCAACAAGTCTGCTGCAACCAGGAGGGCTGAGGGTCTGACTGAGGGTCTGACTGAGGGTCTGACTGAGGGTCTGACCGAGGGTCTGACTGAGGGTCTGACTGAGGGTCTGACTGAGGGTCTGACCGAGGGTCTGACCGAGGGTCTGACTGAGGGTCTGACTGAGGGTCTGACTGAGGGTCTGACTGAGGGTCTGACTGAGGGTCTGAGGGGTGCAGCAGCAGGGCTGAAGGAGCTTACAAACAAAAATCTAGAGACATGAGCTCAGATACAGAAACAGGTGGGTCCACGCTCAGACCCACGCGTGCACGTGGGAAGGCAGCTCTTACCTTTGGAGCTGGCGGCCGCCACGCAGTAAACCAGGAGCACGAGCCCCGCGCTGAGGAGGAACCCTCCCTCGGTCCGCGCRCCCATCCCGACCCGGAGCTCTAAGCGCACGGTTCGGATCGGCTGGGCCCTGTGGTCTGTCCCCCTCAGCTCCTCCGAGGAGGGGCGCAGTTCTGTGGGCTGGCAGCTGGAGGAAACACCGGGAGGACGGGAGCAGACGACGGAGGAGACACGAGCATCTTCTCCTCACTGTCACTGCGCGCGCACGCGCGTGTGTGTGCGCGAGGCAGGAGAGCAGCTTTACTCCCCTCTCAAAGCATCACCCCGGAGTCTGCAGCGCGCGGACCAATGGGAGCAGGGGGTGGACTCAGTTCTGACCGGACGGGTTCTGGAGCCGTGCCAGCTCCAGAACGGTTCCGAGATGTTCTTCCTTCCAGGTTTGACAGAGCTGGTCCTTAGACCTCCTCAGTCCCTGAGTTTGTCCAGTAAAACAGGTCCTGTCACAGTTCGTGGTGAGGATGAGTCTCAGCTACTACCACACCTGTAGGGGGATGCTGCAGCTCATTAGATAAACATTCAGTGATGACCAGATCCAGTCACTGTCAGGAGATATTTTGCTAACAGGCAGACACAGCCAGGTGATGATGTACCTCAGGTAAACTAAAGACCCTGAGTTTTGTGTGAAAACATCCACAGTTTCTCGAGCACTGAAAGATGGGCATTTATGTTTTTATATTAGTCTGTGCTCATGTTGTCTGACTGTTAGCTAAATATCTTATGAACCATTAGATGGATTTTAATGAAACTAGTAATAATGACTTGTAGAGCTGACCTGATTAAAGATGCTACAATAACTAAGTTTATCAAACAAAAACAAATATACGACTGTTATATATATAGATAAAACTCACTGGTTGTAGATGAGGGTCATCTTGTTTACAATATTAATAAGATTGAAAATAAAATATTAAGGTTTAACCAAATCTCCATATTTTCTCATCATAAATAATCTTAATACATATTATAAAGATCTAACATGTAAGGTGGAAAGAAATTCAGGGAACTCCAGAAATATATATTTTACACAAATATAATGTACTCAATCAAAACTAAGTTTGTATAACGAGTCCTGAAACTGTGTATCAAGTTAGTTTAATTTACATCGTCATCCACAGAGGATTAAATGTTTATCTGCAGCACCTGCTCACCAGCTTTATCACAATACGATRTTACATTGACATGTTTAGATGACGAATTGATATTTCTCAATATCATAARGTCTGTCATGATACGATTTTGATTCAATTCAATTCACATGTCTGCGATCGATGCAATGTGATATTGTATTGTAGATATGCCCATCTAACACAATGACTGTTAGATGGGAAGATGGTATCGATATGCATCGAAAATATGATAATGCTAGATCGATATTTTCATTTTGCCTCATTTTGCCATGGTACAACTGAATCATGAACCATTCAAATCGATATAAATTGATGTATTGTTACACTCCTAGTATTTTACAAGACAAAATTTACAACTGTGTTATGGGTGCCAGAATAAATCTGTTAAAAAAAAATTAAAATCTGTAATTTTTACAAAAAAAAAANGAACCTAAGGAGGTAAGGTGAATGCTGAAAGCGTTCCAAATACGAAAAACATAAGAAAAGAGAACAAAAACACACATAGGCAGGAAGTAAACTGTCTATGGAGGAAACTGTTGTGAGTTTGTTTTCATCTTATTTAGATCCAGTTTCAGGACAAACATACCAGCAATTAGTTACAAATATGTCAGACGTGACCTGTCTGTTGTATCTGATNGTATATATATTGTATTAGCACATGTACAAATATGCAAAGTAGGTGATGACGTCATTTAACGACATTTTAGTACCGTCATTAACAACTTTTCTTACTGAGGAGTTGGCAGTAGGGCTCAGCCAGTCAAAATCGCACTCCAAGCTCAGATCATAAACTTAAAACTCCTGCTCCAGGGCCTTCTCAGGTTGTCAGCATACTAAAGTGTTCAGTTGAGTTGTCCTTAAGTATCTTTATAACTTTTGATATCCGGTGTAGACTGACTCCAAACAGCTCTCATCTGCCTGGTCGGCAGTGAACAGAACCATGGAGAAGGCGGGATTTAGCCAACTCATCTATTGGAAGCCTCAAATGATCTAGTTTGGCCAATTCCATGTCTGCTCAAGCACAGCTGACACAAGGAAGCATCAACAGGAGTTGCCGGGTCCTAAACCCCATCGCCTCCTTACAAATCCATAATGTCAGTTTCTTTATTTTGCCAATGGTGCTGAGTTAAAAGAGAATAAAATTGCCACTGATGATGACTCTTTGATGAGCTTTAGGAGACTAATGTTTAAAGTTCACTCAGGGTTAGCTGTAACATCTTTTATTTGTTTCAATTTGAGGACCCTCAGTTACCATTTCTTTCCGTTAACATTCCAAAATTAAAAATAAACTAATGAACCAGTCTCAATGAACAGAACTTTGTCTTGAAATCATGCAACACAATGCAGCTTTTCAAATCTTTGTCATCCTTACTTTACAAGTGTGTGTTGGCACAGCAGTTTTCCAAGGTTTAAAATTGGAAATAAAAACACTGGTCTTTGTATCGATTCTCCTGTGATGGCTCAGGTATTTAAGCAGAATCTGCTGACTCACCAACGGCCACAAAAGGGCTC